CATAGCGACTTAATTCGGTACTCCTACGGAGTACAATTAACGCTATAATTGTACTCCTCTCGACCAATCAGAGTCGAGTAATTTTGTTGAGTGTACTATAAAATACAAAGTCGAAAATTGTGTAAGGATTTGTATGGGAAAAGACGAAATACATAACTTCTTTCAAGAACCGTGTACATAGTCAAACTGAAGCGACATAAATTCGTTTAGAAACATGTTTAAGAGAGGCTGTCCGTAAATATCGACTATTGTCGGAAAAAATTTAAAAAATGAAAATTTTCTTTTCCTTACCAGAAGATTACATTAGTTGAACTGAYTCTCAGAAAAAAATAAAAAACTTGAAAAAAACAATTTTCTCGCCGAAAAATGACATTTTCGGTTTTCTCGCTTCCTGGCGGGTTTTCAAGGGTGAAAAGTACGCCTCGTTATGAACTCTCTAAAAAGTTTCATTTCAATGCAAACTAAAAACCAATACAATATTTTGATAGAACACATAATAGTTGACATTCACATTATAAAATTATTACGATTAATGTAAGATTGATTATTTAGTGAATTTTTGAATCTTTGACATTTTTTCAGTACAAAAAATACATCAAAATCAGGGCATCTTTTTAGCCATTTCTACATCGCCTATAGATTCAAAACTATATCTTGGTGAAAGAGCAATGTTTTGTCTACACGAAAATGCAATAATATTTTTGGGCTACTCATTTTTTTAAACACGAGAGCTCATAACGCAAGCTGCTCTGAGGTCAAATTTAGTGAAAAACTTCTGGTACTTTGGTCACGCAACTGGCATTGAATGAAAGCAAACTGGCGACAAAACGCAATCATGTCTATTTATATACATCGTTAATGATAAAGAAAGAAATAAAGAACATCTGAACGCTGTTTTTAGCTTTAAAAACACATACCTTAACCAGAAATTTATGGAAATCTCGATGACTGCGCGTACGATGCTATGTTGTTGTCGCCATTATCGGCTCTGCATTATTAAAGTACAAAGTTGACCAAAGTTTGCTTTCAATTTCCACGGCCGGTGAGTCTTCCTCAGTTCTATTATACATCCTGAACCCATCTTCAGAAATATTGGCATGATATTTGAAATATGATTAAGGGAATATTTTAAGTGAGTAATAGAGATGCGAAACRAGCTAATCATTTAAACGAGAGCGTGACGCCGTTACACACAGGAAGCCCGGTCAAATACTTTCTAACAGAGTCGGAAGACRTACACACAGGAAAGGCACCGTTTTGCCGTAAATCTTTCAAAAGAGAGCAGCGTCGCAATACGAGAGATCAATGATTACATGTTCTTTTCTTTTCTTGTTTCTGTTAACAATACCCAAATTAAGCGTTTAGTAGCTGTAAAACTCTCAGGAGCTGCTTCTTGTGCACGTACACGATTGAACAAGTTCGTTTATGAATGCCAGATAAGGTGCCTTGCGTTTCTTGTGAGAAGAGTCCTCATCCATGTTGAAGAAAACGCAAATGTTGTGCAACATTGCAACAGTGAGCTTTTTAAGGTTTTTAGCTGCATAAAGCTCGCAAACGTTGTATGTATCATAAATAATGGGATGACTTAGCTGGCATTCTCTCAGGATGTTATCACGGATAGAGCTGTAACAACTTTGATCTTCRGCGGCCTCCATGTCGTGTGCTTGGCCTGCACCTGCATGCTTCAACTTTGCAGAGGTCCTTGAAAAATAGGACTGTATTTGTTGGGCCGACAAAAATTCTTTRACCGTGAAGCGACGTTCCCCTGTTTCGCTTTTTGCTCGCCTCATGTCGCGAGACACTTSTTCGTGGTCCGCTTTGTTGCCAGTATCCTGACCTATCTGGTATTTGGCATTGAGGTACTTTTTTTGGTTTTCATTAAATCTTTCGYCCTGCTTTGAAATCTTTAAAGCCCATCCCATTTGCAGAACSTCTAATGTAGACTGAGCAGTTGAAGATGCACCGCTGGTACCCAAGACGACTGGTTGGCTGCAGATCCTTCTTGTGATAGTTTCTCCCGATACAATATTTTAGCCTTGTCCAGGAGAGTTTCCTTATATATATAATGAAAAGTAACACTGTTAGTTTAAAGCTCATTTAAAAGTCCG